CTGGGGTCCCTCCAGCACACCTGGCAAACAGATGGCCTTTCTAGCATATCTACTTCTAAGTGATCCTAACCATCTTCTCTTCCACCCTTCTTCAGCAGCCCACTCCATGTCATTTCCCAGACTTAACTGTCACCATCCCTCATCTCATTTCTCAGTGCCCACTTTATTCCTAGGCTACCCAGCTGGCTCTGAGTGTGAGTGGCTGCAGCTCTTCCACCTGAAATAACCTCTGGGGGACATATGCCGAGCACATTCACACAGCGTGTCTGGAACACTGTGGGTAAAAGCTGTGACTCTACTTTGTCATTCATGACACATCATCTCTGCTGTCTTCTAAACTCATACTTATTTCACAACCAGTTTACCTGGGATCTGCCCTGAGCATTCTCCAGGGGCGAGCACAGGGACATTTTCTTCAGAAATGACATAATATTTGTGGTCCAGATGGAACAGAGCCTCTCTCTCCTGTGGCAATCCCACCCCGTGCCTGTGAGTTGTAGGATGGGCTCCCAACAGGGACTTAATAAAAGACAAGAACCACCTAAAATTGTAGGCAAACAGTTGGGAACATTTGAGTGACACCATTTCTCTGGAAAACAGGAGCTATCTGCAAGGACCCACATTATCACAGTCTGAAGAATTGCTAAGTGAGGCACAAACGTTCTCTAGCCCACAGGGAATGGGGAAGCCTACCAGTTGAGGATACTCATTGTGGGCAAATCTGACTGTGGGAAAAGCGACACAGGGAACAGCATCCTCTGCCGACAAGCATTAGAGTCCAGACTTGGAGCCCAGTCAGTGACCAGGATCAGCCAGGCAGAGATGGGCACATGGAAGGGAAGGAGTTTCCTAGTGGTAGACATGCCACCCATCTTTGAGTCAAAGGCCCAGAACCAAGAAAAGGAAATTGGAGACTGCTACCTGCTGTGTGTGCCAGGACCCCATGTACTGTTACTGGTGACACAGCAGGGACGCTTCACAGCCCAGGACACCATAGCTGTGAGGAGGTTGAAGGAGATCTTTGGGGCTGGAGTCATGAGACAGATGATCGTCCTCTTCACCCACAAGGAAGACTTGGCAAATGAGACCTTGCATGAGTTTGTGACCCACACTGACAACCACAACCTGAGCAGCCTGGTCCAGGAGTGTGCGAGGAGGTACTGGGCCTTTAATAACAGGGCTTATGGTGAAGAGCAGCATGGACAGCTGGCAGAGCTCATGGCCCTGGTGAGCAGGCTGGAGCAGGAGTGTAATGGCTCTTTCCACAGCAATGACCTCTTTCTTCATGCCTCTGTGTTCCTTAGTAGTAACAGCAGTGAGCGCCAGGAAGCCTACAGGTGCTACCTGGCCAAGGTGAGGCAGGGGGTGGAGAGGCAAAAGCAGGAGCTGAAGGAACACGAGGGCAGCTGGGTGGATAAGATGCTTTGCAGAGTCCACACGTGCATGGGCTCCCACATCACAGCAGCCACCCTTATTATTGTGTGCGGTTTGATATTTATCATCATTTTAATTAACTTGTGTATTGCCCAGGGGCACTGAGTCTTTTCAGGGGATTACCACCATCAGCACCCTCCCCCCAGTGTTCTCCATCTGTGTCCATGCTGGGCACCTCAGTTCCACTCTCATTGATTCCCTTGAGTCAAACACGCCAGTTTTCTTCTAAATAACATTATGTAAATTGCCAGGGGCTGTGAGAATTACAGCAGGTGACAACTAGTGTTCAGATTTCAACCCACCGGAGGAATGGTTATCTGATGGAGGTTAATTGTTGGGGAATGTCCTTCTGTATGTATGCTTATCTTATTGGTTGATGAACAAAACTCTGTTTGGCCAGTAGAAGCAGGAAGATAGGCAGGACTAGCAGATATGAGGGGAATTCAGAGAAAGGTAGGCAGAGAGAGACTGCAAGCAGGCATAGGGAAGAACGGTTGCTCCAGGTGTTCTCTGGTAAGATAAAGTCATGTAGAAATACATAGATTAGTAGTTAGGGCTAATAATTAAGAGAGAGCTAGCCAATAAGAAGTCCTAGCCACCAGCCAATGATTTCATGACTAATATTGCATCTGTGTGTTTATTTGGGACTGAAGCTGCAGCAGAACCTGGCAGGACAAGAGAAACTCTGGCAATGATTAATCCTGTGCAGACAAGGCCTGCAGAACCATTGACTCTGGAAAATTGATCGCTTTTGCTAAAGCAGCTTGATGTCTCCCCAGTACCTCTATTGTAGTGTGTGTGGTGTACATATGTTAATTTCATGATTGCATCTCAATTTTATGGGTGTATATATATATATATGGGTAGCTAGATGACTTTTCATTTAGATGTATAGTTTTGATATGTAGAATATATACTAGGGCATGCTTCATAACTAGATCTATTTGTCCCATGAGGACTATAGATGCTTAAAAACCTGCTTTGTTCCTTTTGACTCATATTAACCACACATGATTATCTCACTTTTTCCTCAACACAGATTGAAACCAGACTAAGTAGAACATAAGCTAAAAACTTTACAGCTTGCTCAAGATCAGAGTCATAGATGTCCAACCAAGGTTACTAAGAGAAGCATTCCAATTCTTCACTTGCCAGTCTTGTTAACAAGAGACCTGTTTATGTCTCAAAGCTCATCGAACTGTAGCTTCCCCTCTGGTCATGGTCTCACTTCTGTAACCTTGGACCTTTCTGTTGCCATGGCAATAGATCAACTCCCTATCCCTTTCCCTAGGAATGTGTTTTTGACCAATGAGAGAAAGCTTTTGCATTTTCTTTATTGCTTTAAGTTCCCTGGTAGAAATACAGTTGTGAGACTAGAGAGAGAAGAATTGAGGAGAAGAAGCTAGGAGAAGTTAGAAGTAAGACAGGAGAATTAAAATAGAAGCAAGAGAATAAAGAGGCTGTGAAAGTCAAGTCTCCTGAACAAGTGGGAGCTCAAGGACTCCAATCTGACAGCTGGGAACCAGCATAGGACCTAACCAAGCCCCCGAACATGGATGCCAGTTAGGAGGTCAGGGAAGCCTATGGGGCCTCTAACAGTGGAACCATGAATGGACTTTGAGAACCCATGGAGGGTTACTCTCTCAGCCTAGATACATGGGGAAGGGCCTAGACCCTTCCCCAAATAATGTGACAGATTTTGATGATCCCCATGGAAGCCCTCACTCTCCCTGATGAGTGGATGGGGGGTGTAGCAGGGAGAGGGCTTTAGTGGGGGACATGAGAGTATTAGAGGGAGAGGAAAGTGGGATTGATATGTAAAATAAGATTGTTTCATATATATATATACATATATATATATATATATATATATATATATATATGGTCTGCATCATCTCTGCAACCCCAAGAAAGAAAAATGTCAGTGTGTATGAAGCAGGGCGTTTTGAAGGTAAAGAAGAGAATGACGTCAAGAGGTTTGGGCATGAGTGGGGAACTGAGTGAAGAGGTTATATGAACAGTGTGGGTCTCACCCCAGAGAACACAAGGTCAGCAGTAAAGAAACACAGGAAACAGAAAGTCTAAGATCAGTGATAAAAAGAGCCAGAAGAGTATCTTGGGCTTGTAAGACTGTACATTGGACAGCATAGCCACTCAACAACACATGCAGGCAAAAGCCTCTATGATCAAGAGACTATGTGTTCATAAAATTTGATGAGCACTGAATTTTGAATTACATAAAATTTTCATGTGTGAAGCTATAATAACATAAATCTCCTGAATTCTTCAGCCATTAAAAAAATAATAAAAGGTGGGCCAGGCAGTTGTGGCACATGCCTTTAATCCCAACACTCGGAAGGCAGAGGCAGGCGAATCTCTGTGATTTCAAGGCCAGCCTGGTCATGACAAACAAAAACAAACAAACAGCAACAACAAAAAAAAGGTGAAAATGAGTTGAAGAACTGGCTCAGGGGTTGAGATCACATAGTGCTCTTCTAGAAAACCAGAGTTTAAATCCCAGCATCCACACCAGGTAGTTCACAGCATCCTGTGATTCCAACTCTGGGTGATCCAATGCCCTCTTCTGGCCTCCACAGGTACTGCACTCACATGTGCACACTTCCATACAGACACATATCTCACACACAAATAAAAATGAAATTAATCTGTTCTTAAAATGTGAATATAAGGTTGGGAAGATGGATTTGGGGTGGTGGATATGGTGCCTGCCAAACACATGTCCATATCAAACCCAAGTTCCAGAAATTGAGAGAAAGGGAGGCAGGTAGACACCAGGGCCTCTCTGGCCAGTCACTCTAGTGGAAAAGGCAGCTACAGGATCAGTGAGATAAATGCGTTGGAATAAAGCTGCCCAAGAAAATAAAAGAATGCTACAATGAAAATGGCAAAACAGAGAAAGAAACTGAAGGAAACAGAAGATGAAAGGGTTGATCATACTCAAGAGTTGGAATAATTAATATTGTGAAAATGTTAATACTGCCAAAATGAACCTATAGATTTAATACAATCTTCATCAAAATTTCAGTGTCATTCTTCAAAGAAATAGAAAAAAATCTAAACATTCCCATGGAAGGAAAGAGATTCCAGATAGCTATAGAGTAATTCTGAGAAAAAGAACAATGTTAGGGGGGTATCACCAACCTGATTTGAAATTATTTTGCAAAGGCATAGTAACAACAACAATAATACCCTCACCAAAACCAAAAACAAGGTATCAGCATAAAATCAGAAATACAGATCAATTGAATAGAGGACCTAGACACAAACTTGTAGTTGCTGTTTTTTTTTTCCTTTACTCTTTGGGGGATCCACCAGCCAGCTCCAAATAATTACATAGAGACTTATTCTTTCTTAAGAATGTCTGGCCTTAACTTGGCTTATTTCTAGTCAGCTTTTCTTTTCATAATTTATTCATTTTTATTTTATGTGCATTAGTGCTTTGCCTGAATGTATGGTTGTGTGACAGTTTGAGATCTTGGAGTTACAGACAGTTGTTTAGCTGCTGTACAGGTGCTGGGAATTGAACCTGGGTCATCTTAACTACTGAATCACCTCTTCATCTCACCAGCTTTTCTTAAGTTAAATTACCCTCTATACCTTTTGTGCTGGGCTTTTGTCTTTCTGTATTCTGTATACCTTTCTTTCTTTATTACTTCATGGCTTGCTGTGTAGCTGGGTGGCTGGCCCAGGATGTCCTCTCTCCTCCTTTTTCCTCACACCTCCATCTTCTCTTGTTCTCCTTCCATTTGTTATCACAACCACCATTGCAAATCAAAGAAGGATGAGCAATAAACGGTCATTAATATCCCTCAACATTAATGGCCTTAACTCACCCATAAAAAGATACAGACTAGCAGAATGGATTCGAAGACAGAACCCTTCCTTCTGTTGCATACAAGAAATACACCTCACCCTCAAAGACAGACATTACATGAGAGTTAAAGGTTGGGAAATTTTTTTCAATCAAATGGACCCAAGAAACAAGCAGGGGTAGCAATCCTAATATCTAACAAACTAGACTTTAAAATAAAATCCATCAAAAGGAGGTCATTACATACTCATCACAGGTGAAATCCACCAAGATGAAGTGTCTATCCTGAACATCTATGCAGCAAATACAAAGGCATCCACATTCATAAAAGAAACATTATTAGAACTTAAATCACAGATAAAGCCCCTCACAGTAATGGTGGGAGATTTCAACACACCATTCTCACCATTAGACAGGAATACCAGACAGAAACTCAACAAAGAAGAAAAGAGTCTAATAGAAGTAATGACCCAACTGGGATTAACACACATCTATAGAACATTTCATACACATAAAGAAGAATATACGTTCTTCTCACCACCACATGGAACCTTCACAAAAATCGACCACATACTTGGCAATATATCAAACCTAGGCAGCTACAAAAAATGGAATTACTCCATGCAACTTATCAGACCACCATGATTTAACATTAGAATTCAACAACAACACAACTTGCAGAAAACCTACAAACTCATGGAAATTGAATAATGCTCAAATACACCAACCCTAGGTCAAAGAAGAAATAAAAAAGAAATTAAGGACTTCCTAAAATTCAATGAGAATGAAGACACAACATACCCAAACCTATGGGACACTTTGAAAGCAGTGCTACGGGGGTGTTCATAGCACTAAGTGCCCATATGAAGAAACTGGAGAACAGTTATACTAGAGAATTACACAGCAAAGCTGAAAGCTATAGAACACAAAGAAGCAAACTCCCCCAGGAGGAGTAGACGCCAGGAAATAATCAAATTGAGGGCTGAAATCAATAAAGTAGAAACCAGGAAAACAATACAAAGAATCAATGCAAGGAAGAGTTGGTTCTTTGAGAAAATCAACAAGATAGACAAAGCCTTGTCCAAACTTACCAAACAGCAGAGAGTGAACATGCAAATTAACAAAATCAGAAATGAAAAGGGGGATATAACAACGGACTCTGAGGAAATCCAAAGAATCATCAGGTCATGCTTTGAAAACCTGTACTCCACCAAATTTGAAAATTTAAAGGAAATGGACGACTTCCTGGATAGCTATCACTTGGCAAAACTAAATCAAGAACAGATAAGCAATTTAAATAGACCTATAACCCCTATG